TCCTCCCTGCTGAAACGAAAACATCTACTCAGTTGTGCAGGGCCTATCCAAGAACATGCCGGTCCCTCCGCTGGCTGTGCTAACAGCACGGCGCTAACTCAGCAGTGGCATTTAGGAGCTGTTTAATGCACGCACACATACTGCAATATGTATATCGACTGGGGATCACGGGAAAAACCAGACTAAATGGAGATTAGGCTTCCAGGAGAGGAGGAGAAGTGTAGTTTGAGCAGGCCCTGGTCTCTGTTAGTCGCTTGGAAGGAACAGCAGCAGATTGGGATAGCTGGAGGAGGAGGAGCACTCGTGTTTTGCTGACTGAACTTTCTGTACCTATCTCTTGTTCTCCCTCTGTTGCTGTAAATCCCTCTCTGGTGTGGCAGTTTTACTCAGAATTAAACACAGCTTGCCTCCGTGCCTGATGGGCCTGGAGCTGACATGCTAAGGAGCAGAGGCATATGTTAAAAATAACTCACTTTGAATGTGTATGTGTGGCCACAGTTCTGTGTCTTAGACAGATCCTTCTTTTGCTACTGCGTAAATAAGACTTTGGAAAACTTTATATATACTGCACTCCGCTTTTTGCACCTGTAAAGGGTGTGCATGGTGGGGGGCATCTCATACATGCCCACATCCACACATGCTTCAGTCATGATGCATTTTGCCATGTAGGCCTTTGCTCATGTTTACTCACTTTCAAAGCCTTGTGGTGCAGCACTGAGGGACATCTGAGCTCCGTTAATAGCAACAGCAGCGATTTTGCTCCTCTTTTCCTGAATGCCTGGAAAGCCCAGGATGTGTAGAGCTGAGCTGCAACTGAAGTGAGCAAGAGCTTTATGAACCCAGCTTGGAAAGCTACAGAAACCAAGGTGGGATAAGAAATAAGCGTGGGAAATAGATAAGTTTGGGCCATTAAACCTTCTGTAAAGGGAAGTTTCTGTAAAAATAATGTCTTCTGGCAGTATTGTGGCTCAGTACCTAGCACTGAAATGCAGAGAGTCGGAGGCCCATGAAAGAGAGTCACTGTGAATTCTCTCCTATCCCCTCCTACCTTGAAGGCAAGACAAGTCAGCAGCTCCCCTTCAGTGCCTGCTATCTTGAGCTGCAAAAGAAGTCTATGAAAAATTCACTCTGTGCCTGGTGGTTACAGTGCAGAAACCTCCAGGCTTTCTGAATTCTCAGGCTGGATTTTCCCATGTCCATGCGCTGTTAGGGAGAGCGAACAGGGACATCCTGACAGCGTGATGTCACGCAACGACTTTGTCTTTCACAGAGCAATTGGCTGTGAAATGTCCTCGAGTGAGGGCCAGGGCCTCCTACACCCAGAGCACGTGTGAGGACCAGGGAGTGAGGCAAGCACAAAGAACTGGCTGCAGAGTGTGGTTCAGGCTGCCAACTCCTGGAGCAAATCAGAGCAAGAGGGATGCTGAGCCAACTGATGCTGCTGGCAGAAGCACCCTCCTGTCAGCATAAAAAGGGTTTATCTTCTCTGCATGGCTCCTGGTCCTGACATGCACCCAAACACCTCCTGTCTCTCTGTGTGTTGGGTTAGCACCAGAGATCCTGCAGAGAGTTCTCTGTCAGGCATTCACAGGCTTTTGGTGATCAGTCTTTGGATAACATTGAATCTTCTTCCTTAGAGAGTCTAACCCAGAAAATGAAGTCACCATTGCACATTACCCCTATTGAGAAAGGGCTGATATTACAGGTATCCCAACTATGACCCAAAGTTGGCCCTTCTTTTTCACTGCAGCCAGAAGTGGGTGCTTGAGGTGTAGATAAAGGCCAAGCCATTCTGAAAGGACTTCCCTACAATGTTGATAAACATAGTACTGAACCTAGGTAAAGATACTTTTGCCAGCAACCTTAGCATGACATGACACCAAAGTTATTCAGTTTTATAGTGCTCTAGTATCAAGACAACAGTTGTGTTGTGTTCCACAACTCCAGAGAGGTTGTGGAGTCTCCTTCTCTGGAGATATTCAAAAGCTGCCTGGACACCTTCCTGTGTAACCTCATCTAGGTGTTCCTGCTCCGGCAGGGGGATTGGACTGGATGATCTTTTGAGGTCCCTTCCAATCCCTAACGTTCTGTGATTCTGTGATTCTGTATGTAAAACTAGCATGGCTGGACCTGTCAGGTGTCTAGATGTGTGATTACAATTCAGTTCCACCAGCTCCTGTCAGAAGTAACAATTCCCTTGCTCTCCCATTTGCATTTTGGTTTTTGCTTCAGAAGATTAGGGAACCTGTCTTCTCTTCAAAGAAAATGTTGGAAATTGCTCACTGTGCTCTTAAGGGCTCTGCCCATCTTCCCAGACTTCCTCGTGGATTCTGGATTTATACAACTGCTAGCAAGCACCGAACCCTGCTCATCTGTCAGAAGCAAACAATGTTCTCTTGTATTTACTGTTTATAACATCTGCAAATTAACCTGACTTCTAGGATATCCCTTCCCCAGCACCCTGCTATATCTGCAGGGATGCAGGCAATACACCAGAGCACCTTATCCTCATGGGTGAGCAAGATAGTGCCTTGTCTCTCTTACTACATGGGACATGTAGCTGTATGGGGCATGCAGTGGCTCTGGGCTGAAAGGACCTTGCATACTCCTCAGCAGCAGTTACAGGTGCTCCCTTGTCAAATGACAAGTATATGAGGGTGTCTTGTGGCTTTGCAAGCAAGAGGGACCTTTGTTTGGAAGTGCAAATGGAGTTTTCTGTGTTGAGGTTTCAGAGAAGTGAGATTATCAGAGGCTTGGTACTTTGCCGTACCTGCTATGGAGTGCCAGTGATGGGCTTTCCATAAGGATGTCCTGCAAAGGCCTTATGGCCTCTTTGAGATACTATGGTACTTTGCCGAACCTGCTATGGGGTGCCAGTGATGGGCTTTCCATAAGGATGTCTTGCAAAGGCGTTATGGCCTCTTTGAGATACTATCTGGTTCCTACAGGCAGATTTACTGGGGAGTGCTTCTGCAGCCTTCCCGTGTGCATGTGGTGCACACGGACATGGTGGTACAAAGGCCCTGCCACAGCACAGCTCCTGCTGTCCCCAGTAGGCTCCTACACTGACATGCAGCTTCCAGTGAAGATAAAAATGTCAGTTCCTAACCACGTTATAATAGTAATCTCTCCCTCCTCCCACCTTTGTGAAGGAGGTAAGGGTAGTATTTTTAAAAGTAGCACTTGTTAACAGTCTTCAAGGATGTCAGTTCAATTACTTGGTTTGCTCTGCTGCTTTGTTTGCGTGGACTGCTATTTTTTAAAAAAACAATTATGTCAAAACTAGAAGCAAAATATCAACTGTGGAGGCAAGCTGGGTCATACCCAGTTGCACTACAAAGAACAAGAATATGTTCAGCTCTCAGATTGCAATTGTTAGCAGGAGCAAGACTCTCATCTCTGTTACCTCCATAGGCTCTTCTCTCTAGCTTTCCTTTCTTGGCTTATATTTGAAGTGTCCAATGCTTTATCTTCTAGTGTTTTCTATTGATTTTGCTCTCTTATTCTAGTCCTTTTTTCTTGTGTAGGTCTTTTCCCACTGTTGAATCCCTCACTGATCTGAATGGGTTTCATGGGTTACGGCATCCCTTGCTGACAGGGCAAAGTGGGATATTTATGTGCACTGAACAGCTGCAAAATGGAAATTCATGTGCACTGTATAATCTCTTGGATGAAGCAGAGTTAGCCACAGATTTCTTAGAAACACGGATGTTGTGGCAGCTCGCAAGCTTCAGATTCAAAGCTGGAGTTGTCCTTTCCCAGAATGTAGCAATGTTCAGATCTGGGAATATATCTGCATCAGCTGTATAAAAATAAGCAAGCAGGAAAATCAACGCCCTTGTGAGTTTAATTTTGAAGTTCTTAAATAGTAGGAATGAAAAATATAGAAGTCTTTCTCTCTGTTTGCCATCGCTGCTTTTCATTACCCTATTTTTGAATGAGTCTGACTTTCAGACTAAAATATGGAATGAAGAATAGATTTGAGAATGAGATAAGAAACTCCACCTTCTCACAAGTGTCTTTTCTGTCTGTGCTGGTGGTTAGCTTTCAGATATAGTTTGGCTCTACTTCAGGCTCAAAGAGTGGATCCTCACACAACTTTGAATCCTGGCAGTGTACATGTTTATATGTAGCTTATCCCTCTACATGATTTTTATAGTTGGCAGAATAAAATAGACTTTTATGGGGTGTGATTTGTCTTACTATGAAGTAGACTATAATGTGTGGAACTTTAGAGGTGTTTCATACTTTGGGACTCATTTTTTCCTGAGAAAGTTTGGCTGTCCAGCCCAGATGTGCTCATCTATACTCTGGGTGTCCAGCATGTGTTCCCACTCCGTCCATGAGGAGGAACTCCGCTCAGGAGGAACTGAGTGCTGGGTGTCTGCTGGTGGACTGACTTGTGTTTCTTCCATCCACATGGACTTGCATGAAAGAGCACTTGGTCTTTGCTTTTTGGCGCAGTAGTGCAGTGCGAACAACAAGGCTCTGCTCTGCTAAAGAGCCCCAAAGCTGAGGTCCGTTCCTCAGTGAGCACTTGCATGCTAATGACAAGGGTGGTGGATGCATCTGAGCTGGGGAAGGGGCTTTTACCCATGCTTACCAACAGTGCAGCTGACACCAAGACAAGGTGTACGCTGGAATGCAGCTTGCTGCACTAGGATAAACAGTGGTGAGCAAGGAAATCCTTGGACAGCCCTGTTCACGGTGCCAGGGCTACGCTCCTGACAGTGCCTGAGCCAGTGAGACTGAAGCTTGCTGGAGCAAGATGGGTGTGAGTGTGCACAGCTGCTGCTGGGAGGTGTTGCACGTATTTGTGTCACTGTACTGCCAAGTGACGAGGCACCGTGTGAAGCAATGAGGGCGGCAGGTGGTTTCCACCCACTAAAACTTGCCATCTCCATTGGAAACAGACAAAAAGATAGAGCAGTGCCAAGAAATGAAGAGACTGTCAAAGCAAGGTGAACCTCTTCACAGGGTTATCCCTCCTCTCTCTCCAGGTCGCTACCCACAACAAAACAAAGGCACCTACATCCCGATCCTAGTAGGCAACGTGCTGAAACCTGGTGAGTGGGGAGCCAAGATCACTTACAAGGAGAACAACTCTATTCGCTTGTCCATCATGTCGTCTGCCACATGCATCATTGGGAAGTTTCGCCTGTATGTTGCTGTCTGGACTCCCTTTGGCATCCTCCGGACACACAGAAACTCGGCAACCGACACTTACATCCTATTCAATCCCTGGTGCCAGCGTAAGTACCTTAACAGAGTCAGAGGTTCACATTTTCTGCTTCCGGGCTCATCATTTTTTGGGAGGGTCGGTCCAGGAAGGGGAGCTTGGTACCACGAAGGTTGCAGACAAGCCAGTTTGGACCTAAAAATTATATAAGTAACTCTGCCAAGAGGCAAGTCTTTCAGGCTCGGGCATAGCCCTGGGTGAGTGGGGGTCCATGCTGCAGACCTATGCCTAGGCTTTAGCTGCTCTCTGCAGTTTTATGAGGCCAAGCCTGTCTTTACCAGCTTGAGCAGTGCGATGATGCTCCATTTCTTGTAGTAAATATACCCAAGACTTAGCTCTGGCTTTAACAGGCATCAACGTGAGCCTCCTGCCTGCCTGTGTGTGCTTTAAACTGACAAGTCAACAGGGGCGTGTTTTTTTCCAGGATTTGGTGTGGGGCAGAATGTTGCAGTGTCCCATACTCTGTTGAGTTACATCGCTGATTGCCACATTACATTTAGGATCGAACATCTGCAGACGAAAGCCTGCAGGAGTTCAGTGAGAGCTGCTGCTCCTGCGCATGTTGGATGCAGCCAACCTGCTGCAGCATCACGGATGATGCCTTCCCACTTCTACATGACATTTGCTCTTATAACTTCCCTTTTAGTGGTGACTAATTACCAGCAACCCTGTCCTCTGTGAGGACAGAACATTTTGCAAATGAGCCTTTTTTTGTACTCCAGTGGGATGAAGAACAATTATTTTTTTAAAGTTTTCCTGGAACCTGGGTAAATCAGACCTTATGCTGACAGAATTGTATTTTACCCAATGAACTCCGAGTGTGGCTTTAAGGAGAGGGCAAGGAGGACTGGAGAGGTTTGGCTCAACCTTCTGACTGACTGCAGCACTGTGTCTCACCTTCTAAAACTTGTAAGGCTCCAAGTCTGGCATACATATCACTAAATATTTAGGCCACTAGCTAACTTTAATATTTTCCTGGCACCCTTCCTTCATCTTTCAATGTTTTTACCAGAGTATTTGCATCAAATAATCCCATACCAAACAAGGGCCATCCTACTGAGTGACGAGTAAGTTTAGCGTTATTAATAGAGTCCATTATTCAGCTGCTCTGCTGTCAGTACATCGAATGATTTGTGCTGAATTCATTACTTGCCTCTGGTCCAAGGGAATATAAGCAATGATTAGCTTATGCATTATTTAGGAAGATATATGTTAATGCTGAGTAAAGCGGAGTTAGTTAAGTGGGAACAGGAGGGAAGGGCAGGGCCCAAGGCCCCGCGACACCATGAGATACTTCTGAATGCAGCACAGAGGTAGGTACCTCTTAGCAGCATGCTAAGAGTTTCTTCTGGGAGAGGAGGGAGAGTGTTTAACAGAAAGAAAGGATTCATTGCCAAAGTTATGACCCATAGTAAGCAGACAAAACTGCTCAAGTTTTGTGAAGGTATCATCAGCCTGTCACAGTTCCAGCTAGAGAGGTGCAATTCCCCACCCCAAGGTAGGACAACGCTTGGCTTTAGTTGTGAGCATCGTAACAGCCATTCTGTTAGCCAGTGCACCAACTATGCAGTGGCTTAGCACCTCCTTGAAAGGGATAAAGCCCAAAGAAAAAGCTTCTTAAACTACCTCAGGCTGCCTCATGACTAGCGTACAACCAGCTAGGGCCGCATGCAGCCATAATGTCAAGAAAAAGAATATGATGTGGGGTGCTTGGCTGTTCCACGGTGGCGTGACCGGGACCACTCAGGCTAATTCAAGTTGCTAGTCAATGAGTGGAAGGGGAAAATCAATCCCTTCTTCTCATCTCCTTCTCCACCAGCTCTGTGCGCTGACTGGGCCACATCTGTTCATGGCACATGGGTACTTTTCTCTCCTGTGCACTCCCTCCCTCGCACCTGAGCTGAATGAGGCCAAAATCCAGCAAGATGAAAACCACAGTGAGGGAGCAAACCTGTAGGAAGCAAGACATGCAACAGTTGTTTCCAGCTGCAGCCATCAGCAAAGCTGATGGAAAAGCTCTGCTTTTGGAAAGCAGAAGAGAGTCTCCAGGCAACAAGGATGTGCTGTGAGCCCCCAGGCCCAGGGGGGTCCACCTGAGGTCACCCCTGGAGAACCATGTTTTTGTCTCCAGCTTACAGGTTCAGGTGTGTCTCAATGACTTGTGCTGGCCCTTGCCGACTGTTGTAGTTTTCATTTTCTGCATGTTTCATTTGGATTTGGATTTGTTCTCATTTCTTGCCCCTACTTTTACTCCTAGGTAGTTTGAGCTAATTGGCTCCTATATCTGTCTTTTTCCCCTTTCCTTGTGTTAGAAAACCAGGGACTGTTTCTCCATGCTTTATCCCCTGGCTGGAAAAGATTGTTCAGTGGAATGACAAAAGGGTATAAAGACTCAGGCAGTTAAAGTGCAGAGAAAACAGTAGTTTGAAAATCTCCTAGACTTGTTTGCTGGGTTAATAGCTAAGCAGAAAAGTCTGAGTGAAAAGTCTCATTAAAAAGAGAGAAGACTGATTCCAGAAGTGAATGGGGATTGTTATAGCAGGGAGCAGAGTACAGGCTCTGTCAGTGTCTAGTGCAGCTTTCCAACTCATCATTTTGGAGAAACATCAGTGTGTCGGTATGAGCTTTTCTTTAAGACAGAGGCATTTGTGCCCTTTCTTATTACTCCTTCTCTCACTGTAGTGCAGTTTTGACATATTTTCCCAGCCAGGGATGCAGAGTTTTTTCTGCTGTTTCAGAACAAGTTTGAATACTTTACCAGTCAAGCTACAGAGTACTTTGCTTCCAAAATTATCAGATGTTGTCATATGTTTTAATCCCCTTAGCTACATTTAAGGCTGATCACCAAGAATACTTTAAAGATGCAGATGCAGGGCCTGATCCTGCAAAATTATATACACCAGCCCCAAACATCTGGGAATTGAACAAGCTAGTGGATTGAGATTTCGGATACTCAGGTGAGATTTGCATTACTTAATAAGCAAGGTAAAGCCTATGAGGCAGCATCCTTTCTTCAGCCAGCTGACATAGTTGGGAAAAACAGATGTGCTTCTGGGTAGGCAGAGCCCTCTTCAGTTCTGAAACAGAAGATGCAAATGGCAAATACTTAAAGATAACTTCTTGGAGTTTAACTTAACTCCTAACAGTATCAGACTACATGAAAGCAGAGAAGGGCTCCTTTGATCTGGATACTGTGAGCTCCTTCTGAGGGGGTGCTGAGTCCCAGTGACTTTCTGCTGGAGAACATTCAGTGCTTATCAGGAAAAGACCTTGCCTTAACTTGTGTGGCTTTCTCACAGGTGGAGTGTGCATAGAGTATCTGAGTAAGCTGCAGACTATGTGGACTGAGGTGTGTGTTTCGTTTACCTGAGCCTCCTGCAAAGTGCATTATATTTACGCAATTAAATATATTGCAACTTTATTGACCCAGTTGCACATCTCTTCTGCTTAAACACCCTAATACAGTTTGAGGATTAGTAACATGTGCATGACTTTGGACTTCTCTCACCAATCATCCAAATTTGGCCCGATAGTATTTTCTTGCATTTACAGCTAAATCTTAAATTTGATCTCTTATATCACAGATTCCTTGTGGATAAAATTTATGCAGGGCTTCATCCTTCTGCTACATGAATGTAGGCAAGCACTAGCAGTTGCAAGGCGGCATACTGAGCTTGCTCCTAGGTGGAGTGGGTTTTGTAGATAACTGTATTTAGCTCTTGCAGCTCTGTGTTTGCCAAAGCACTGCCCTCTTCCCAGCAAGAGCCCTGGGAGTTTTGTGGTTCAGCGTGGCCCAGCCTTCTGCTGCTGAGTTCCCACAGGAGCACAGGTGCTCAGGGCACGCCTGCCTCCTTCACCTCCACTCGGCTGCTGGTGCTGCTGTGCTCAGCAGTCACTGCATGAAGAAATTGCATTTCCAACTTCAGCCAGTTGCTGTGCTGAGGATGGGGTTCCCCCATACTGGGTAGGGTCTTCTCATGCTCGTTCACCTTCCCAAGTTGAGAGAGCTTCTCTGCACTCCTCATCTCTCTTACAGAGAAACTGTGTTTAGTGGGTTTCCTCGCCTGCAGTACTGTCTTCACATGAAGTGTATTTTCACCTTATCCATCTTCAAACAGAGAGGCATAGAGGCTAATTTGCTTCTTTGTAACATTGCTAGTGTCTTAGTAATTTCCCAGGATAAAAGAAGTGAGTAAAAAAAAAACCCCTAAACTGCTAGAGAAAAAGAACAAACAAACCCAGCATAGTTCCATGGAATTCTTCTGTTTGTCACACGTTAGCCTCCACTTGCACAAAATAATTAGGAGTTGTACTATGTAGAGCATGCTTAGCATCAAAGTAGTCGCAAGTGCCTCGCATTTTCTTCTAAACAGTCTCAAGAGTAGTGAAAGCTGTCAAAAATCAAAGCAGTTGGTTTCTCTGTGAAACACAGAAGTACTTTATACTTTATCAAAAAAACGCAAATATTTTAAAATAATTGACAGAGGAGTTAATCAATTTTCATCTGATTTAGGGAAGATTATGCAGTCTCAGAATAACATAAGCATCTCAATTGATACCAACTAGATCAATACTGATAATTTTAATCCCTGAAAGAAAACAACAGCTGTCCAGAAGGCATATGCAGACACTCCACTGAATGCGTAACTGTACAGTAGAAGGTGTGAGTTCTCCTTCTTTAAATGTGTTCTCTGTTTGTGCTTTAATGAAATCCAGAGCTCAATGAGTGAACATGTATAGTTGTTTGATCAGCAGATCAGGCAGATCTAGCCTAATGGAACAGAGCCTCCACTATCTGTAACATCTGCAACATTTTTGGTGGGATGTTATACAGAGCTTGTTTAGAGCTGGGAGATGGACCTCAGAAAAGTCATGTAATATACAGATTCATAAGTATGAATCCCTGCTGGCATAAATGACTACATCTTTTTGATTCACTGTCAAGTTCTAATACTCTCTTTCACCTGGTAGCCTCTGAATATAATAAACCCATGATCTTCCTCTTTGTGCCTGGGTGCTGCTTGAGTAGGTCGTGGGTAGTGACAACCCTATAAAGAAACTTCTTGATGACCCAGCCCTTAGAAGTCAGGTGAATACCACCACCTCACCAAATGCGAGAGAGAGTCTCAGACCTGCTTCCACATCGATCATTGTACACTGATGTGGAGGTCATTATGTTACATATCTATGCGTAATCCCTTCTGTATGTATAGACATACACATATAAATATATCTTCAGAGAAAGCAAAACTTCCAGCAGAGTCAGGTGTGTACACTGGCAAAACCCTTCACCTAGCTGAAGTCAGTGAGTTTTCCCATTGATTTTTTTCATGGGGCTCAGGTTTTAGCTTATTTCCAGCCAAACTGCAGTTTTATGGTCCAATGAAGAAGCTTTTGAGCATGAGGTTTACAAGGAAGTACAAATATGATTTGCATTTCAACAAAATACAGCAAATCAATAGGCTTTTAAAAGTGAAATAATTCTCTAGTAATTTGTAGTGGGATGCAGAAGAAATCCACTACGGCAGTAGTGAGGGGTAGTTTTGTACTATCAAACTATCAGAGGTTATTGCTTCCCTTTAATTTGCTATCCGGTACCATATTACTGATCTCCTCAAATTAATTAATTCCCATACTATTAATTGTTAAGCTGTATCTCTTAGTCTTAAAATACAAGCACTGGCACAAGAAAGAAATCCTCAACTATTCTAGCGTCACAGAATCACAACCTGCCTCACACTTCCCTGTGAACATCTGAATAGTTTCATGCCCTTCAGAGCTATATATGAATGTTAATAAGGGGTTATTTACATATATGAATCATGTTTGCAGGGTGAGAGTCCACGCATATGCTCTTGACTCTTGATATAAGACCAATCTAGGATATACCTTTTGTGTATGTTTTGATAAAGATCTCCTCCCATTACTTCCAGTTTTCACTTGGCACTTGAATTTCTCCTCATATTAGCTGGTCAGTCAAGTTACATGGGGGAGTGACACTCCAGTCAATAACTTATGTACAGAAAAGCAATCAAACCTTTCTGTTAATACACTATAGAAACTGTATTCCAATTTTTTAATGTCCTACAGATTTTTCTTTAGATCTCTTGACTTGAGCTGTTTTCCATTAACATTAATAGGTTTGAAATTGTTCTTTGATCTGTTTGTATGGTTGCAGAATTGCGTCATGGTGCTCCAACTTTTAAATTAGAGGTACACAGTAATCATAAAATTCTTGATAAGATGTGACATTTTAATCATACTTTACAGATTCTGAGAAGGCAGGCAGGAGTTGTCAGCATTTTTGCCTCTTGTGTGCTTTCAAGTTGTGTAACATAGTCCTAACTGGGGTCACTACCTCCTTATTCTTGTACTTTGTTGAACCAAGTAATGCTTTGTTTGATGGAAGAGGGGTACTTTTCATCAAAGATGACTGTATTATGTGCTAAGATTTTTTTATCTGTCCTGTATAAAAATGTAAAGTGACTGTTAACTTTTGTTTTTGGTAAACTGGTGCAGAGGATGCCGTGTATCTGGATGATGAGAAGGAAAGGGAAGAATACATCCTGAATGATGTCGGTATTGTTTTCCATGGAAACATCAATGACATAAAATTAAGAAGCTGGAGTTACGGTCAGGTGAGCTATTTAGACCTTCCCTGGCTGCTCCCATCAGGACAGCAAGTGAGTTTAATCAGCACCAGACTGTGGTTGAGACTGTGGGCTCTGGAGTGCATTATTGGTGTCTCCTTCAGAAAGGCAAGGAGCATAATTTTAAAATTGTATGAAGTGGGTATATGCCTAATCCAGAAAAAGCAATGTTATAATAGCTAATATTTAAAGATCTTGTTTGAGGGGTGTATTTCAAATACTAAGAGATTGCCTGTTGAAAGTTATAATCATTAGTTGAGGTTTCCACAGTGCAGCAGTATTTCTGCTGCTACAATATTGTTGCTTTAGGATGAAACAGATCTTGTGAAAGAGTAGAGGGTTGGTGTTTCTTTTCATTTATCAGCAATAGGTTGTATTGCTGTCTGACTCCTGCTTTTAGTTCTAGCAACTTGATGGAAATTATTCTCATCTGCTCAGGGTGGGGGTCAGCTTGTCACAGGGTTCCTGTGGCAAACTGGAATCTAACCCCAGAGACTTAGATTTCCTCACCACAGTGACGGGGGGGGGGTAACCTCTCCCTTTGCTGCCTGCACTTGACAACATCATTGGCCTCTTGCAGCCTGTGGGAAACACCCCTCGCCAGACTGGTGTGCGGTACTGGTGTGCCTCCAGTAACATCAGACTGCTTGTTTGCCTATTTTACCTCAATCTGTTTGTAAGGACTCACTAGCCTGAAAATCCCCATGGGATGGAAGAGTTAAACTGTTGATTGAGACTAGGGAAAAAAGCGTTAATGAGCAGGATTAAAACGAGGAAAACTAACCCTATCTGTCCCTCAGAGTGGCTCCAAAGGAAAGTTATGGGACATGATGAACTCTGCTTATCTCATCTTCTGGATTTTCATAATAGCGTAATTAAGAAAGTATTGAAGTATTTCCTTAGTTCTATGGTGACAGATCCATTCAGTTTTTGTGGTGCCTCCCCAGCACAGCCTTGCAGAAGGGGCTTTCTTGCTTTGCTTGCTTTCCCTCAGCTAAAGTCAATCTCAAAGCTTGAGCTGGATGGATTACCTGCATACTTGCCCTGGAGAGCTCTTTGAACTCATATCTCTGTTGTTTCCTTATTTGAGGGTACAATCTCATCTTTTTTCCCGCAGCAGCCTTGCCTTAGGGAGTTCTTGCCTCTGCACCATTCCTTTGGTTGTGTCAGCACCATTGTTTGTGGGGTCTGACTGTCATCCTGCCTGCGACAAAAATAACTCTTAAATAAGTTGGTGGTGGGGAGCAATTTCAGAAGCTGATGGTGCCTCTGTTAGAAGAGACGTGGAACCAGATCCTGAGGCCAAAGCTGGGTGTGCATTTAAGTTGACCAAAAATGCCCCCTCCTGGCCCTTCCTTCCCCCTGCAAGTGCTTGTGCAGCCGTTCAGTGAATTAGGCTGGAGAGCTGATCTAGCTGAATAAGCATCTCTTGGATTATTATTTTCCCCTGGGTTATTTTTCAGGCTTGCTCTGCTCCTAGATTTGGGATTCACTCCATGACAGATGTAAGGGGGGAGGGAGAGAGGGGAATGAGTGGCTGAAGGTGGACGGTGCTGCTTAAATCAGCTACTGGATTTATGTTCTAAGATGCTAAATTTATGGCCTATGGTGGCTTGGCCTGAGGTGCTTATATTCTGCAAATCTGGCACCTTCCTGACATAAACACCAGCCTCCCTTGAGAAACTGCATTATTTATTTGGTTTTGCTGGGAGGTAGTTCTGTCTGGGAGGTTAGGGCTGTTCCATATCCCTTTGTCATGTACTTCCATTCGTGTATTGTCTGAAATTGGAGGACCTGATTTCCTCACTGCCCTGTGGTGCACCTTTTGCTATCACTTGCATGTGTGAAAACTGAGTGTGACAGATGCATCTAAGAGGACTCAAGCCAAGAGTTTTAACGGGATTGAATGTTTTGTATGGATACAGCAGGCATCTCAAACTGCAAAGCAATGAAGACACATTCTTCTTGTTCCCTCACTTTCAGTGAGATGGAGGATGTGATGTTCCTGATCTTACCCTGACAATTTCCAGCCATTAAAAACATGCATCTTCCTAATTTTCAGCAATCCTGGATGTTCACTGCATTGTTGTGAATGAGTAAAAGTACTAGCAGCAAGGCCTATATTATAGGTATATCTTACATGTGTGTGTTTTGTATTTATGACACATGGCCCTGTACAAAAGTGTGAGTTAAAAGCACTCGTAGAAGTGAAAGGTCATATACAAAAATACAGATAGACTTGTGCATGGTAATATTCTTAAGCTAAAAAATTGCTTTGAACAATGACAGCTAGAAGCTTTAACTCAGGTTGTAAATTAGAAAGGAACATACAGTTCAAAATTGGGTTACTAGTGGGAGACAATTCTCACAGCTGCCGTCTTTAATGAGTAACATCAACATCAAGAAAAAAGGACTGAGGAAGAAAAAAACACGGACCAGTTGAAACATGGCTGTAATGAATGAGAATGGAGGTGTTCCCTGTAACATGACTGTGATTCCTTTCTTCTAAGAAAGCATAAATAGCCAGTCACTCAGAAAAGCCCGCAGGGGATTCAGGAGAAATGTGGCTTTGGAAGAAATCTAGGCACATAGGAATTCTCTAGCTGACAAATGTCAGAAGTAGGATGTTATGTCGATCACTTACCATTGCTTTTTTGTGAGAAAAATGAAAGTAAAACAGGTGGGCACAGAATTCTTGTTGCCATCCTGAGTTGTCTCATGTCCACACGTTGAGCCGCATTGACTTTGCAGCCCACTGTGCACATATAAATTTTACGCATGTGTGTTTGGTCAGATCAGACCACAGGCAACGTGAGACCACATCTGCCTGCAACTGCCTGTGAGAAATACCCCCCTAATTCAGCCAGTGCAAAAGGTGATACAACCCCTCTGACTTTGATTTAAATGGAAAGTCACCTGTTAGAAACAGGTTAGCATGAGAGAGGATGCCCACTGAAGGCCAGCCTGACTAAACGCACTGCTCCGTAACACAACACATGGCTGTGTGCAGACAGAACCCCTTTGCCTGTGTGTTTTCTCACACCGTGTTTTCCATCTGCAGTCTTTCCCAGGTAGCTCTGCCAAAGTTCCTTGCTTCTGAATTTGGTTTGTCTCCATTTCAGCTTCTGTTGAGCAGGCAGTGCCTGCGCTGGTCCAAGTTCACTTCTCTGTCCTGGCTGCCTGCTGCTGCTCTGGTTCCCCTGACATTTCAGGGGTGTTCAACCTTACAAGTGCTATGTTTCTATTCCACTTCCCTATAGACAGCATTTTTGTGCCAATAGTGAGAGCAGAAAACTGATTTAGTTTGATTTAATGTTTTTAAATCCCTGAATAATGAAGAAGGGCAAAACTGGCTTTATAGTTAAGGCTACTTTGCATCCTGCAGTGCTGCACCAGTGTAAGGCAGCTAGACTTTACAGCTTGTCCTGTATTTCTTCTGTTAATCTAGTTATTTCACAAGCATTCATGTCATTTTGTAAATGCTAAGGTGGAAGGCAACAACCCTGGTAGCAATTTCTTTCCTCTTTATTCTTCGTGTGTATGCTGGCAAGATTGACAGCGTCTCCTAAACTGTAGATGAGAAAGATTTAATTTGCAGGATAAATTTCTTATTGATTTAACTCAGGTCTTAGGCACTGCTGATGACTTGAGGTGCAGAAAGCAGATTTTGATCCTGGTGAAAGTGATAAATCATTGGGCCAGACCAAAAGAAAAGTGAACTTGAAGCAGGAAAGATGGCCATGAGGGCCCAGCATTTACATTATCTATTGTAAGGGTTCTCCTTGAGAAGGAGGGTCTCCACAGCATGGACATTCACCTGACATTGTTTCTATCACATACCAGGGGAGTGGACTGGAGATTCACTGTGCAATTATTCAGCTTCCCAGAGATGATACAGTATTAGGACTAGGTCTCTAGGCAATACTGATTCCTCTTTCCC